TGTTGAACATAACAAACTTCATCTTAATATTCATAAACTGAAATAGTACATGTTTGCACACTATATTTACATACATTTGGTACTCTCCTTATAAAGTTCAGAACTCCATAAGTGATTACCTTATTATAAGATTTGCTATCTTCAGACTTCCTAATATTTCTGACTACAAGTGGTGTATACAGATTACAAAAGATTAATTCTGAGTAGTTGTTTCGAGATGATCTGAGATGATATTTCTTTCAGGGATATTTTGAACACTTGAACCTCCTCCCTTTTATAGAGGTCTTTCCTTCAGTGATAAGGAATCTTATCTTCACATGTGTTTTCCACTATCTCGTCCTCCACTATCTTTTGTTGGGTAATATTAGCTAGCTTTATTTTTTGAGCTGAATCATGACATATAACCACTTAGTGGGTGAAGGGTTATAATCACATTATCTTATGTCTTCTAGTGACCACAGTTTTTCTTTAATAAAGTGAATTTATTAAAGTAGTGATAAATGGTCACTGTCTTGACTCCATTATTTTTCTATTCTCGAATCAAAGAACTTCGCGGGGAATTCTTCACTTTTAAGAGATGCTTGATTCATATCTTCTACGACGCAGTATTCACAATGGTGATCACTGTAGTCCCAGAGCATCTTGCACAATTCTTTAGTCATATCTTCAGATCCACTTACTTGGTTTGAAATTATAGTAGATAGTAAATGGTCAAGAGTACACATATCTTCTTCTTTTGTAGCAATCCTTGTATTAGAATAAATTATATAGTCTTCAGACGGATAGATCCACATATTTTCTTTCTCAGTAATCAACCGAGTTACATGTTCAAATATCTCTTTATACCATTTTGCTCTTATGTAGGGCATCATATTTATGATATCTTGGTAACCATTTTTAACAATCTTTTGACTGGTTGGTAAATAATATTGATTTGTAAGTCCCATTTTAATAACATGGAATGATGGCTGCATATATTCAAGAACATGATCCCATTCAATGGTTGTTGTGTGGCACCTAATGTATATATTGGTGCTTTTGACAATTTCAGTATATCTTTTTGTCGCTTTCCTAACATCAATTGGAAGTTGGGTTATCTCTCTGAGATCTTTACTAGGATATATACAAAGTATATTTCCTAATTCGCAGCAATTTCGTACCCAGTTGGCTGGTGCTCCTGGATAAAAAAAATTATCTTGTTGTATTTTCCATAGTGGAGAGTTTTCAACCATTTTCCTATCTCAAAGTACCAATCAGATAGGATATTAAAAATAATAATAAAGAATATTACTTCTTCATCATTTTCCTTTTTGGGAANTTTTTGGGTATTTTTGCTGCATGACATATCTTGACAATATCATTTGGAGCATTTTTTCAATAGTTAGCTTAGGTAAAATTTGGTTCGGTGAAGAGCTACCTTCACTGTTTTTGATATTTTGAGTATCTTCCCTTATGGGAATTTTCATAATTTCTTTATCGGTAATAAGATTAAATATTCTCTGTGAATGGGTTCCCATAATTTTATTTTCTTTCCATTTATCCTCGGGAAGAGCGCTAGTATTCATTGATCCCTGTAAAGGAATACTAGACTTGGCACAAGTAACATCTGCCTCAAGGGCTATATTCATTTTGTCTCGAAGACTCTCTTGTATATTTTGAATGTGTTTTCAAGTAGGAAACTTTTATCTCAAGTATCCGAACTTTCGTCTTTAATTGTTCTAACTCCATCACTGCTAAGATGATCGAGAAGAAAGTTAGTTTCACCTTTTATATGTTCAATATCAAATTTGAA